ATAACCATTTTTCCTTGGCATAACATCCCAAATTGAAGAGCCTAATTGAAATGTTTCTCCACATATAGCACCACGTCCCAGTAGGTTCGTTTGCCAAGGAATTGAGCTTCACCTATTTGTTTGTTTAAAATAACGAAGAATTGAATATATGTGAGCAATACCCAAACACACAACTCAGTTCCACAAAATATATCAAATAAGACTTCCTTCTGTCAAAACAAAATTCCAGTTGATACCAAGTCGAGATTGGAGTGATTTTTATTTTTGTTTTTAATCATACCTATCAATTGTCTTAACAATAAATTTTACATTATTTTAACCACTATTTGAAAGAGCTGCACAATCAGAATTTCTAATTTTCCATTCGGTAAAGTTCTTCTTCCAATTTTTCGAATAAATAAAAAAAATAAAAATAAATCAAAGATGGGCCACTGAAAAATGACTAAGATTTACTACCTTTAATCTTGGGGTTTGAAAGCTTGGCGTAATTGAGATGTATGGGAAGTAAATTGTGTTTCATGAATATTTTGATGAAAGATTGTTGATAAGGAACTCAAAACAAGGTAAGGTATTTGGGAGCCACAGAATCTGATTATATTGGAACAACTTCATTCTCGGGAAGAAGAATTTTGTTTCATCATAGTTAAGAGAATTAATACTCCATACTATTACTAAATAGTTTTTTTGCCGATTTCTTTTCTTATGCATCTTGGAATCAAATGTGGCATACGATTTTCATCGATGAATCTTTTAATATTGATTAATATTGATAATCTATAGAAAATATATAAAAAAAGAATCAATTAGACAATTCATTATAGGTTTTCTCTATGATATAATGATAGAAAGAGTAAATATTACGATTATAAAATAAAATATAGAGATCAATAGGGAGAAAGTTTTCCAAAATGAGAAAAATAAATAAATTTGTTTGTGAGAGACACAAAGAAAAAGAAAAAAGAGATATTGAGAAATTAAAAATAATCATATCGAGGGGAAAAAAAAGGAAGATATACGAAAATATATTAAGAAAAAAAGAACCGAGATAATAGTGAAAAATGAAATAATTGTTACTAATTTTTCATGATAGGAAAAAATGAAAACTGTGCAACCAAGAAAAAAAATAAAGTAAGTACTATATTATAGGAAAAATATACGAACGAACTTCTAAAGTAAGGTTGCAAAAAGTATATGGAGAGATTGTAAATAAAGATAATTTTAGGAACTATTAAGAGAATACTCTAAAAAGATATAAAGTCGTAAATCAATAAAACAAAAAAGGACAATAAGTTCCATTAGATGATTTCGAATATCATAAATTACTCCAAATGTACTTAAAATAACAAATCATACCGACATTAAAAATTACACAATTATAATTTATATTTTGAATAACCCGCACAACGTGCGAGATAAACACTAATTATATATTTAAGGGAATTTTTTTCAAAAAACACATGTCAGTCAATTAGACATAATATTCATATACATGCGTCAACTTTTCATTTGTTGAAATTTTTGTAGTAAAAATGTTATCTTATAATTTGTAAATTTTTTTAACTGGATATTTTATGAGATGTAATTTTAAACACGATAAAATGATTATTTTCAACAAAAAAAAATTCTTCGAATTAGAATATTGACCCAACAATCTCCGAATGATGAAGATGACCGGAAAATTATCTCCGGCCACAAAGAACTCCGTCCGTCACCACCACCATCAATCGAAGCTTTCCGAATACGCCTGCTGTTGTTCGCTGGTTCCAAGGCCGCTACTGTTGCTGATCCGCCGTTGGTTCACTGCAAGCCGGCGAGTTGTTTCTTCAATTCCGGCGCTCTATGTTGCCGACGTGCCCACCGTTGTTTCCGCCGATAGCTGCTGCTCTTTTATCTGACCGGCGCTTAAGCCAGCAAACTTCCACTCCACGCCGTTGGTGGATGTTCGGGTTGCTCTCTCTCCGTCAGTGGCCACCATCATCAATCGCGATTGTCAGAAGCCCCAAACAAAATTCTAAAGCTATATAGTACTTTTTCCTAAACGAAAAAAAAAATTACATTATCATCAACATATATTACTAACATTCCGTACCCTTCCGTCCATATCCGAGATGCATCTCCAATTACCTTCACACTTCGTAGAAAAATCACCCATGCAATAAACAAATCCTAAAAACTATGCGGATTTTGTAAAAGGACACAGGAGAAAAAGAAAATAAATAATCATCATAAATGAAATTCCTAAAAAGTCTTCTAAAGATTTGATTTTAAAATATAGTATTATACGATAGATGGTAAATTATCTACATATGACAAAATCAAATCCGAGTTCTCCAAATCAAAAGCAATCTCTCAAAATTATAAATTTTAAAACTTGCATCAAAAGATAAATCAAGTCTTAATAATAAGATAGTAATTTTTTTTTAATGAAACAGAATAGAATAACTAAGATTAATGTAAAATAATTTGTTAAAGTAAATATATTTCTTCCTCGGTCCTTTTATCTAATCTTGATATCTCTAGGTTTTGCAAAAAATTTTTTATACTTTTTGAATTTCTCACGTTGCTTAATTTTTTAAAATATTGTATATATCTCAGAAAAATAGTGCACATTCAATTCTGAGTTTTACATTAGAAAAAGAATAAATCTCAAAACTCAACATGATTTTTTTTAGACAGATGGCATAATAACAAATGTATTAATAAAAACATAATCTCTATAATGTAATAAAATTTTATGACACGAGCAATATGAATTTAGATAATTTTTATTATATCACTAATTTAATTTGTGTGCAAAAAAATCCTAACAAGTAGTGAAAATAATTAATTTTGAACGTAAACCATAAACATGAAATAATTCGTCAATTTTAAAATCAAATGATTAGAAAAAATAAAAATAGGTGAACGTATCTTACAGTTAGGAACATTATTATGCAGCATAAGAATAATCAATCTATAAAAATTATCCATGATTAATATGTCCGCGCAACGCGGAGATAATACTAGTTTTTCTTTTTAAAAGACTCTAGTGTAATTCGCGTTGTTATGGAAAGTTGAACTTAGAAGTCAGAACCACATCATGACCACTACAATATCTGCAAAATTGCAAATTAAGAAATATTAGCCCTTTCCCCATTTTTTTAGGGTTCTCATTTAAGAAAAATAATGAACTACTTTTACTATATTTGATACTACTAATATTTCGATACTGTCAATCCTTTTTTTTTTAAGAAAAAAAAACATATATATATATATATAAGATGATAAAGTAGGTTTTTATTTCTAAATGGAAGTTGTCAAACGCGTTCTTATTTCCACATAGTTAAAAGGACAACTCATACTTACAGCTGTTAGCCTGTTCATATCATTCTCGTCATTCTAAGCAGTCCTTTTGTTTTTGTTTTTTTTTTTTTTAAAAAAAAGAAAAAGATTGGTTGTATTTGAAAGAAAACAGAGTATATCACCCTAATAAGGTACTATAAAATATTTTTCCCAAAAAGTCTATAATAGTTCTAAATGAGTTATACTGCATTATTTATCCTTTATCACATCTTTTTTAAAAAGTTTTTAAATATAATGACAGTTTAGTTTGGGTGATGCATTATTGTCACATTTTTAAGACATGGTAATTTCCTTTTGTCGACATATATCAGTGTGTGTGACATCCAAATCAGATAAAAATGGCGAGAGTTACTGTGCAGGTTTATTTGGTGATAGTGTTTTTTTTTTTTTGAGAGAGATTTTAATGAGTAATTAAATTCCATTTAAAGCTGTTCAGATATGTATTTTCGGTGTTGATTTTAATGTTTGAGAATTGTCAAATGTGGTCATTATCATATTAACTTGTGTCAATTTTGGTCCCTTCCATACAATTTCCAACCCTCTTTAAAGATTGTGTTTGAAACTATCCTAGGTTGATGTTTTCCAATCTTCTTAACAAATTCAAAATTTGTTGATACTACAACAAATAATACGGTCGCTATATATACACCATTACTTTCTTCTAATATCTACGTCATTATTATTTGTCATTGTCTCTATCGTTACTATTCATTATTATAGTTAATTTTCTATCATAAAGATCATTGTCATATTTATCTTCGTCGACTTTGGTGCTGTGAACTCTGCCACTACAATTCCGATCATTTTGAAAGTCTTTATTGACACTATTATCATTTGCCATTGTCTTTATAAAATTTAATGAAGTGAATAGATTGTTGTTGTTGGGATAGATAAGTAATACGATAATAATAAAAGTGGTGTGTTGTTTTGGTGGCCTGCGAACATAAAGAGAGCAATAGCAATGGCTCTAACACGATTTTGCATTAGATGACTTCTAAATATAATAAGAATCAACATGATGGTAGTGTGGATGAAAATTACGAAGAAATTCCGTTATAAAATTCAAAGTACACTAAGAACTATTAGGTATATGAATGTAATATAGGTTTACACATAGCCAATTATTGTGAATAAATCCAAATCCTTATTTGGTACCCACTAACAAAATTATTCTGCTGCATAGGGACTACTCTCATATTGTTATTATTTTCCTTGTTTTGTTTTTGGTGCCCAAGACAAAAATATATACACAACAAAGAAAAAAAAAAAAGGTTAAAAACAAATCCCAAATTTGACATTTGACTTTCCGGTTTGTCCCCTTTGGCTTTTGGCCCCATCTTTTCTTTTGGGTTTTTTGCAAATAGAAAAACCCGTTCCGGTCAGCCCTTCTATTCCTTCCTATTCCGTAATTCCATTGTCAGATTTTCCCACCTTAAAATATAAAAATGTCTACTCACAGATTTTGATTTGATTTTACAAGTCTACAACAAAACGACACCAGTTTTCCCTTCTTGTTGTTTTTCTGTACTCCAACTGGGATCATCATGGGATCCATAGTTACATTCCAAGTGGCCCTTATGTTTGTAATACCCAAACTATAAGCGTGATTTATTGATTATTATACGTATCATATGTTGCCATCGATTCCGTCGTGTTTTGATCTACACACATTTTATTCTCAACCTTTTTAACACAAGCACAATTTTTACTTTTCTTCTTTGTGTGTGACCAAACAGTCAAAAACCCAATAACAAAACCGAAGGAGGACTAATAAAAAGTACTAAAAAGGAAGGAACTTTATGGTTTGGTGTTATTACTAAAATGGAAGAAGTAACAATTCTTTCATCATTAAATATGATGGGAGGATATCAATAATAATTAAATGGATTATAAAAAACTGATTGTTTCAGACAACCATTTATTGTTGTTGTATTTTAGAGTCCTTCCTCCTCTTCGTGCGCTCCAATCTGCCACTGCACTTAAAGCAGTGCTATCCACTCTTTCCCCCTTTTCTCGCTCCTCTTCTTTTTCTCTTTCTCTCTGTCAAAGGAAAGGAGAGATTAGGAGGCTACACAGTAAAGAGAGTTGACCTTATTATAGTAGTAGTACTAGTACTTTCTTACTACTCAATCACATTGAATATTTTATGTGGGTTGAGGTAAATTTTTGCTGGGCTCTCTGTTTCCTTTTTTATGTTTTTCTGTATTGATAGTTGTGGTACCAGTCCCCCTTCCCCCTTCCCCTTTCCCTTCCCCAGTTTATACTCATTTCCCAAACTCTTCATATTCATCATAACTGATACTTGTATTTAGTATTTACTCTCTTGTTTCCCCCTTTGTCTACATATACAATTCTCTGTATTAATCAGCTGCAACGGTCCCCCCTTGTCTCTTTGCAGAAGTCCTGTACAGAATTTAAAGATTGGTTTTTTTTTTTTTCACTGTTTTCCTTATTGATTGGTTAAGAAATCATAAGGGTTTCATTTGGTTTTTGAGTCTGTATATCATATGGACAGATATGATGCATCTGCTACTGCTTGAGGGTATGTGGGTTTTTTTTCTTATTGGATCTTTGAAAGGTCTGATCTTTGTTTGCCTTTGTGCTTTGATCTGCTGAGGTTTACTGTTTGATAGATGAGGCATTCATCAGTTCATTTGATGGTTTAATTTTGTTGCTTTGTTTTTCCATACATGTTTTGAGGTTATTTGCTTCTCTTTCAGGTGATGATCATTTCCAGGGGACACTGACGGAAGGGAAAAGAATCCAATCATCTGTTTAGTGGAGATACAAAAAGGTTTACCCTTTTGGTTGTATCATTTATGCTTTAACAGGTAAAGATTAGAAATGGAATTTGGTTTGTGCTTTTCCCTTTCTTTTCATTTCCTTTCTTTCTTTTTTCCACCGGGGTTGTAAAGCTGTTATTTTTATTGGGATCCGAGGAAAATCCTTTAAGCTATTGCTCATTAGTGCTACTGAAAGGTCTTTAGTATTTTATGTTTAGAGGAAATGGAAAGGCCAACGGGAAAGTGGATGGATATTAAAGTTACTGTAATGCTTTTGTGGTAGATGTTAAGATCTAGTTGGTGAGAGAGAGCAAAAAGACAAATCAAGTGGTTGGAAATGTGGGATGGGGATTTGACTTTGAATATAGGGGTATAGTTTATGTTCATCCTTCCAAGGCTCATTTAGAAGTTCTTGGAAAGTTGTCCTTTTCTTTATTATTGGACGAAGTTAAGAATCCCCACTTTCCTCTTGTTATACAAATACTCAGGCTATTAAAAATTTATGAGTAGCTTGTGACCGTAATTAACTACAATAATGTAGGAGAAAATCACTGCTTGCAGAAAAAGACCAGGAACGAAATTGGGAGGTAAAGTGGAAGCTCCGAATAAATTGTAGTGACATTATATGCTTTATTATATATTCTATATTTTTCTTTTCATTTTCAAGCTTGCAGTTTGGAGTTTTAGCTGTCTTTTATGATTTCTTGTCTCCTTCGTTCGTTCTCCAACAAATTTCTGAGGTTTGTCACTATTTGTTGCCTCTTTGTTGGAAGACATGAACTTTTCTAAGAGAAGGAATGTTTATATTCTGAAAATTGATTGTGAGAGGTTCAATTACTCTAGCATTGTATCTTCTACTTCTGCCTCTATACTTTTCGAGCTGATAGATTTCTATTATCTCCTAATCCCTGTTTCATTTTGATTAATTAGTGACATATAAACCAGTTTAGATGGGGTTTTCTTTCCCCACCTATTTTAAACAAGTATGGGTTGTAGTGTTCTTCTTTTCTGCTATATTGGCCTCTTAGTTTAGTTGATGAACTCAAGGTATTCTTGCCTAACTTTCTCCTATATTGTTCTGGAATTAGGGAATTTCAAATTTCTAAGTTTTTACCAATTTTTTAAAAAATCTAGTGAAGTTTCCCCTTTTTCTTGGTTTAAATATTTTTCCTCTCTGTTTCTGTAATAGCCAACCTCACTTAGTGGGGATGAAGTTGTGGTTGCTAATATGAATGAAAGCTTAGCGATGATGTTTTCAAGCATTTCCAACAGTGCTTGTTAATATGAGTGAAAGTGTGGTGACGATGTTGCTAGCATTTCCAACTTTGCAAAGGGCTTTACATTTACATCACTTTTAAAGACAGGTTTTTTTATTTTTGTCTGCAGAGAATAGTGGATGTTTGCTTCACAGTTATTGAGAATTCTCCAAACTGTTCCTTCTGATTTAAGCTATGAAACCAGGTAATTCTGCTTTTGATTTTGGACTAAAATGTTATCTACCATATGGAATGCATGCCATCTATCCTTCTTAATTTGTTCTAGCTATCCTCCCCTTTCTTTCTTTCACCTTTTCAAGTCAGAAGGGTAATATTTCGTATCTTCAAGTACCTATGTGATGGTTGGTTATGGACAGTTCTTTTCTGTTATTATAAACATATACTGATGGCAGATTTGTGTGAACCTTTACCTGATATGTGAATAGTTAAAATTCCTAAGGATTAAGGACTGTACTGTATGTTCCAATTTGCTTTATACATTGTATGATTCTCGGCTTAAACATGTTTTTTGACACAGTATCCTTCTGATGCATCTAACTTCCATTTTGCTTATGTCCAGATTCTAATGGAAAGGTTTCTTAGTCACTTCTACCTCTTTGTGTTTGTTCTTTGAGTAACATTTGTGCTTATGGTTCCACATAAGTTAAACTTCTCTTATGCTCCTACATCATCGTGCATATGGACCCTAAATCAGTTTATGCTACAACAGGGTCATTGACATGCCTGCGGAAAAGTTTACCATGAAGGAATATCAGCAAGAAATCTCATTTCCTGCAAATGGCTCTGAGAATGAGGCAGATTATTTAGCATTTAAGATAGATAATGGAAATGCCTCTCAAAATGCATCTGTACCTGAGTGTGCTGAAGTTTTGGACAGAAGTTCAAACAGCAATGATAAGGAAGTTGCAGATTCTCTAAAGTTGGGAGACCGTTTTGGGCCTTTTAATCACTTAAATGGATCTAAGAGGAGTTTTGAATCAGTAACTGTTAGCGATCATTCATGCAGCAGTCCCGAAATTGATCACACATTTGTTATTACTAACAGCTTCACTGATAATAGTGAAAAAGGAGCAGCAGAAGATTCGGAGACACTCTGTACCTCTATTTCTGAGGTTGAATGCAACTCCCAGACCAATCCTTACGATGATCAAAGTGTTAAGGAGTGTGAACTTCCTGAGGTTTCAGTCTGCTACAAGGACAGTGACTATCACATTGTTAAGGACATATGTGTTGATGAGGGATTGCCTACCCAGGACAAAACTTTGATAGTTTCTGAGAATGATAGTCATACTGGGTCTTTTGTCTCGCAATCATGTGTTGAAGACAACGACAACGGGATAGCAAAAGCATGTAATGAAATGGGCCCCAGTGCAGATGATCTTGAAATAACTACAGGAGAACACATCCCAAAATTTTACTTTAGTGAAGATGGGACTAAAGAAGTGGATGTTGCAACCTACTTGTTGGATGAGTCCAAACCCTCAGCAGAAGAAGATACAGTTGACGATGTTATGAAGGTGCTTGGCCTGGAGAACTTGGAGCAAATAAAGAACTTGGAGCAAATAAAGAACTTGGAGCAAATAATTGAAGCTAATGGGAGTACAACTGACGGAACAGAAGATGAACCTGCAACCGGTGGCAGAAATAGCCCACAAGAGTTAATAGCAGAGGATGCTCATTCACAATCTTCCCACGCGGATGATATTGAAGCTCCTCGACAGAGTGATGAGGTTTTTTTTTCTTTAATCTTGATACTCACCCCCTGACATGTTTTCATCTGCTCAACTGCCATTATTTAACCTGATTTTCTTACAAATGTGGATGAGGTAGAAAATTCTTAATGAACTCATCTGTGGTTTTCGACTCTAAAGCTCAAGCTATTTATTACTTTTGACCCTAAATCTTTCGGAAATAGTTGTTGAACCTTAAAACCTGAATGGCCCGTTAATTGTTTATTCTGTAGGTTCCATCTGTAGAAGCGATTTTAGAAAGCCTCGCCATAGCCTTTACTTCGGATGATGCAAAGAAGAATGTTGCAGAAAGTAATTTGCAATACAACAGCAAAGTGGAAGGTGGCGCAATCACTTTTGTCTTTGACTCTTCTGATCCTTCACTTGCTAGCAACGAGGCTGAGAGTACTGAAAACAGTCAAGAAGAGTCTCCCAAGGATAATGGAAAGGACAAAGATGTGGATGATGCCTCAGCTACTATTGTACCTCCTCATGAAAGCAATGCAGAGAAGAAGAACGAAAATGTTGAGGAACCAAAGGCCATGTTACAGAATGCAGATGATGATCCCATTCGACTCCACCGCGGAGGTGGAGAAACGAGCTTCTCTTCAACCGGACCCGTCTCAGGTTTAATTACTTACTCAGGGCCCATAGCATATTCTGGGAGCATCTCCCTTCGATCAGACAGCAGCACAACCAGCACACGTTCTTTCGCTTTCCCAGTGTAAGCACTTGCGCAAACTTTTACACTTCTTATACTCTGCATTTCATCAATTTAGCAGCAACAGGGTATTGAGACTGAAAACTGTCCTTTGCTTGTAACAACAGGTTACAGTCAGAATGGAATAGCAGCCCGGTGCGAATGGTAAAGGCCCGGAAACACAAAGGTTGGAGGCAAGGCCTTCTCTGCTGTAGATTCTAAAATTTCTTTATGATCCACATACTAGTTCTTAGCTTAGAACTTTAGATATATACGGTCCCAACTCCCAACATCCCCCGAGTTATATGATGGTCCCTAAGTAATATTATGTATACTTGTCAATATCGGTATAGGTTTGGTAATGCCTTTTACAGTAGCTTAGAAAACTTTGGTTTTTGAGTTGAAACTCAGCTGAGCAAATTTGAACCCTATTCGATGTTTTACATTTTTGCTCTCAAAACGTTTTATTCATTTATTGGATCAGATTCTTACATATTCTCATTGTTTTTTTTTTCCTGCGCATTTTGTTAAGTTGACTCCAAACAATGAGAAATAACATTACTCCCCTTCTTTGGACTATTTTCTTTTACTCTCAAGTTCCAAACTTTCAATGACCTAATGAAGCACAAAAAGCTACTATGCTATAGTGTTGTCACTGCTTTGACCATTTGAGATTGTCAAAAAAGGAGTTTTAAAAAGTTTAAACAAGAAACTACATGAGAAATAATAGTATTATCTTCGTCCCACAAAAATAGTCCACATTAAAATTTCAAATTTGTACTAAAAACAATACAAAACTCAAAACTCAAATTTATGAGACGGAAGGAGTAATACTAAATAAACATGAAAAAGAGGAAACCTATCTCCTCTTATTATTAATGGATCCAGCCCAAATGCCGGTGCCACTTGCTACATTTGTTAATTGATCAACAACACCCCTCCTCCAACATTTTAATAAGCTATCATCAAAGAATCTTCGTTTGATTCAGTTAAAAAGTCAAAACCATAAAAGAAAGCTCAAATGGCAAGAAAATGTTTAGTCTAGTACTAGTAGTACTGGTGTTGCATTTGAGATCTCTTATTTTCAGCTTTCTTTTTTATATTACTGATTATGCCTCGAAGATATATGTAATTTACATCTCCTTGCATCATTAATTGAATGTAAGAACAAATTAACTACAAAGTAACACCTGATTGCAATTCTGATAGAAGGAACGTTAAGTTTATGTAGTACCAATTCTTGGGGCTATTGTAAAACCGTGGTTAACTCATGATTTGTTCGGGCTGTTGCATAGTCTTAAGCCTCTTTCTCTATACCAAAAAAAAATAATAATAAAAATAAAAAAAAATTCTACACAGTTGACCTAAAGAATTTGCAAATGTCGCTTCCTAGATACGTCTAAATCGTAAATTTATTATAGATGCAAACCATTGTATTTTTGTTAGAACTTAGAACCATATATGTGGACGAGAACTCCTATATTTGTCAAAGAAAGACATGAAATTCTACTTATTTCAATTCCAGAACCCAACTTTTCTTGAAGGCCGGATCAGAAAAAGAAAGAGAAAAAAATATTAAGAAAAAGGGAAAAAAAAGTCTAGTCTTCTACTAGAATGATTTGGAAGATTCACAAGTACTCCTTCTATCCGAAGAAATAATTCATATTAAATTTTAAAATTTGTATTAAAAATAATATAAATTTAAAAATTCAATGTAATTTTTTTTTTAAGACAGAAATAATAGTCTTTACTAACAACAACGTAATGGAGTAGCCAATCGCCGAAATCTGCGACGATAAAAAGACAAACGTAAGAATTCGATTTCTCCCCTCTTCCATGGGTGGAAGATGGGGAAAAGGTTGGAAGCTTTTTATTTGTGTCTCAACATATTGATCTACAAAAAAAATTGGAAAGTGATGGATCTTCTCTCGTATAGGCCACGACATTATAATGTCTTCAATAATATAAACCATTCAAATCATCAATGAGGTGGCAATTGTTGTTCAATACGAGAACCTCCTAGCATCATAAAGCTAATTGTGTGTTAGGTCAAGGAAAGATTAACTAAGCTTTTGTCATGCCCTCTTAACAAATTATCTTCACCTTGTTTTGCCAAATGTGTACTTTGCAGTTGTACATGACAACGTAAAACAATCCACATTAAACAAAAAAACCCAGACAGGAATTCATGGAACGTGCCAAAAAAAAAATAAAAAAATCAGCCCCTGGTGTGTGTGAAACTTACCAAAAAGGTAAAGTTCAAAAAAAAAAAAAAAAATGCATCTCTCAAAGTAAGTGTGTGTGTGTGTGTTTCTTGTTTTTGGAACTCTCAATATTGTGTTTTGTGTTTGTTCTCTATCTCCACCACAACCCCTCTTGTGGTGTGGTGGTATTGTTATAATACTCCCTACTCTCTAGCTACTTCATACTGATCTCTCTAATCTCTATATATATATCACACTTTTCCTACATAAGAAAACCCCTTGAGTGAAGTGATTCATAAGTTCTTGAGTTGATTACTTAATTGAAACAAGTCAATACACAATATGGGATTCTCCAAAGTCATCTTAGTACTAAGCATTGCGCTCGCCTTCTTGGTTTCTTCAAGTGTTTCTCATAAGATATGGTCGCAAAAAACTCCCCATGATCAACAAGGTAAGTTAAAGTGTAGCTTTTGTCTTCATGTTTCTTTCTCAAACCCTCGTATGATTTTCATCGTATTTGGCGCACAAAATTAAGTTAATCTGATTTCTTGTGGTTTTGCAGTTGACAATGTGCATCAAACTTCTCCAACATTGCCTAGGAAGCTCAAGCATGATCATGAAGAGGCAAACGTAAGTATCCTCCTTTCCCCAAACAAAGTTAAACTTGTTTCATTTTTTGTTGATTAGGACTTCATTTTTGCTAATTCTTTCTCATGCATCAAACTTAAATCTAGGTTAAAAGTGTTGGAAACGAGCATTTCATGCCATTCAAAGTGAAGGAAGAAGCTCTACCAGGTGATTTATGTGCGATATAGTTGAAATGAAAATCTTTTTACGTTTTGTAACATGCAAGTTCGATATAGGTCTAGTAGTGATCGATATAGTAAATGAAACTAAGCTAGCTAACTTTAAACTAAACAAACCAGATTCAAACTTATACATGCATGGGCTCATAAATTCTTCTCTTCACAACAAAAAGAGACTTCTTAACAATTAATCAACTTACCTTCAACATGAATTAGATAATGAATCCACAAACTAACCATGCACATTCAGGTTTGCATATATACATGGAACTTGCTGATTTGGATTGTTTTGTCCTAAGGTCACCAATTGGTTCAAATTTCCAAGTATCAAGGCTAGTTGTAGTAGCTTTAGCAAACTTAAGGCATGATTTTTTGTTTTAATTTGGAAGAGCAAATCAAAACAATCGAAAAAAACAAAAGCCAGAAATAACTACTATTTTACAACAAAAAAGCAGCATGATTGTATTAATAAATTGGCTTAAGTACTCTTCGTGTTTAAATTGTAATATATCTTACTTTTTGATAAGAAGAATAATTGCATGCATACGTACGATTTTATCTATAAATATAGGTTACTTCGTCCACCTTTTGAGTTCAAGATCAGATATGCGCACACCCACACAAAATAAACTTATATATATAAACATATGTAGCTAGTTGTACATCACTTTCGATTCTCCAACATAACTTTTCCAAGCAATTGACATTGTTTCCTACCTTCTACTAGTTGTTTGCTATGACAACTCATATTATTTACGTCCCAAAATTAGAGTACCGATTATTGTTTATTCCGTATAGGTAAATTGCAAAACAAAGAAGGGGTTGAAGTGGAAGTGAACAAAGAGGCGGATCCTTCTCAATTCTTCACCATGGATTATCCTTGTGTCAAGCGTAGACGTCCGATACACAACACAGATGTGCATTGTTGAACCATTAATGGAAGTAATTAAGAAAGACACAATATCTTATTATTAGTTATTGCTACTAATCAATAGATATGTAGTTTATAAGCTATAATAGTACGTATTTTCATTAATTTCATGGAGATTAGATTACCTCAAAAACCAAAAAAACTCACACACTCTTGTAGTCTTGTTAACGAGGAAACCGATTTTGGGGAAAACATTTTGCGTGGTTTGTAAATTAGGGAAATTAGGAAGTTGTTGTCTTGTAGTTTTGTCATGGCCGACATAAGCCTACCTTATTACGTTAACTTTTTCTTCTAACTAAGCCCTCCAAGGGGGACATATCTTTTTTGCTTTATGATGTACGTACGTACCATCTCCTTTTTTTCAGTTTGGATTATGTGTTTTGTTTGTTTTTTTAAAAAGAAATAAATTAGTCTTAGTCGAAAATCTTATGCATACGATGGACATTTTTTTACTTAACTATCTTTAAACTAACGATAATTAACAACTCTAACAATACAACCTTATGTATTCTTTAATGTATTTGACTTTACCCCTTGTCCATTTGAGAAATTGATACTTGTTCTTTCCCTTTAATTGGTTAATTCTTAGAGGAAGAAATGTATTTGAAAGGACAATATATAATATCCAGAAGTTAAGATTTGCAATTTTTATGGAAGATAGTACTATATTTCTCTTTCAAGAAGGACATATTTCGACCTTGCCAGTGGAAGTTTTCAAAACATAAAATACAAAGTAAAATGATACACCTAATGAAAATATACAGTGGGAATTGAAGAGGTAATAATCGATATCTCATATGAAAACAAAACAAAATAAAATTGTGTTTTTGAAGTTAGTTATTAGAAGCATGAAAGAATCAATGATACTGTCATTTCACCACTTATTTACCACTCTCGTTTCATGTTATATTTTCACTAATGTATAATCCCACTATCCAAAATACATTTTCCTTCTTTTTTTTTCGGTTAAACTGTAAATGTATTGCTTCTCAAACGACTGGAATGTACATCTTCTACACCTCTACTATTTACATCTGAAAACTAAGGGTAATGACCCATGCTAAGGCCAAATGCCCGATTTTGGATCATCAACAAATTAAGGTTTCATTTTCCACAACAATTTTTCGATAATGAAAATTAATAAGTGTGGGAGGGTGTTTGTGGTCGACCTTTCAAGATGAGTATCTTCGTCTTCGGTTATTTGATTAATAAAGCGGTTAAACAGAAAATAAATTTAAAAAAAAAATGAAAAAGAAAGAGGACAGTCTCAAGCAATCTCTATATAACATAATGGAAAATGATCATTTGTGAAATCACCGTCCAATATTCAAATGATAAGTTCTCATAAAACCAGACTCACTTGCAAGTAGGCACTACAATTTAGGGTTTCAAAGCAGTCAAACGAATAGTTCAACTTTTAACACGTTATTTAATTTCTGGGAATGTGCATGGTAACGCAAATTCCAAGCGAAATTTGCTTGTATTTGGTGCTTTTTTTTTTATAAAAAATAAAAAATGAAAAACCGACCATAAGGGGGTGCATGATTTTTGGGGTAAACGAAGCTCATGAGATTGTGAAGTTAGTGTAGTACGTGAAGTGGGTTTCAATCAATGTCTCCTCGATCCACATAAAAAATTCCAAAAACATCCCGTACGTTTGTGCGCATGAAAGTGTGGAAAAACCTGGGATGCTTTTACTTACGTACTCCTCGAAACATATGGCTAATTTTATTAGGTTTCAAATTTCAATTCTACTATCTTCAGCATTTCACGACCTCATGTTGGGCATGTATCTCAATACTATTAAGAATCCAAGATACAAGCAACAATATACTCCAAATATCTCATATCTCATCACCGACACGGCGATACGTCGGCAGCTAGCTTCCAAGTAGCAAAAACAGTAAGAAATTTGTATAAGTAAATTGGAAGTCTATGGCGAGATATTTGAGTTTTTTTTCTTTTATCATTATTTTTGGGGGAGGGAGGGAGGATGAAGAGAGGCTAATCAACGTGACCATATTTAGTAAGTAATGATATTTTTCGAAATAAATACATGACACTAAACTTAGGCTGTTGCGATATATGAAGATGGAAAGCAGGCCCCGGTTAATCATAAGGTGTAATGATACTTGCTTGAATCCCACATTACTGTCGGGTAACATTAGTGTATGGTTTATATATCTTTGGGTTTTTCCTTCTTACAAGCTAATTTTTGAGATGGGCTCCCCCAAGAAGCATGACAAGTGGTATTAGAGTTGGTCCCCATCCTTCGTGTTGGCCTGTGGAAAGGGCTACTTAGAAGAAAAGCTACCCGGAGTCACGCAGAGTGTGAGCCGCCGGAGGAAAGGGCTACCTGCAGAGTGAAGCCTCCACGGAAAAGGCTACTTGTGTCGGAGTGAAGCTGTCTAGAATGCAGCCGCCGAAACGTCGGAACGAAAGTGTGGTAGTACGTAATGATAGTTGCTTGAATCCCACATTGGTGTCGGTGACACTGGTGTGTGGTTTATATGTCTTTGGGTTCTTCACTTTACAAGCTAACTTTTGAGGTGGGCTCCCCCAAGAGGCATGACATAAGGCCACTAAAATTAGGGTTTTAGGCTCCGGCTTTAGAAGGGCACCAAAAATTGTTAATGGTGTATTATATATTTATAAAATAATTTTAAAATTAATTAAAGTAAACAAAATTTTTGATAGAAAATTGAAATAAATTGGATATTTTGAAAAAATTAATACAAAATCTTAATTTGAACATTATATCAATGGATTTGTATTAAAAAAAGTTAAACAACAAATTTTATACGATAAAAATTAATAAACTCTTTTTTCTACTCATAATTTCTAAACGACCTCAAATTCGTATCCCACTTTAGACCCTCCCCCCCAAACCTTGAGCCGTAAACGAAGATAGCAAAGAGGAAAGAGATTGTATTGCATTTGTTGCATACGAACTATTAGATTTCATCTAAGTTGTATTCCACAAACCAGTTGAAGTTCACATTTATGATCTTCCAAAAGTATATAGACCCCAAAAGGATGTTGCAGAAATTTGAAGAAACCACAGGCCTTACGGTGAATATCCAGAAGTTTGATGTTTATTTTGGCGGTGTCAATGAAGAGCTCCAACAACAGATCCAACATATCATGGGCTTCAAAGTAAGTTCCTTCCTTATACGATATCTTGGTGTGCCTATTTCACTTTCAGCCTGGACACAGGATGATTGTCAAGATGTGATTGAAAAAATAACAAAGAAGTTGCAATGTTGGTCCACAAGACACCTCTCTTATGTTGGGAGATTGATCTTGGTCAACTCGGTACTGCTCAACCTTCATTCGTACTGGACAGAAATCTTCCTCATCCCAAAATCAGTCATTCAACAAATTGAAAGGCATTGCACATCATTTTTATGGGGGAAGAAAGAGAATGGCAGAGACTGGTCCTTAGTAGCCTGGGAGGAAGTCTACAAGGAAAAATTGGTGAAGGGAGTCTTCATATTAAAGATTCAGTCATTTGGAATCAAACAATGATTGGAAAGTAGATATGAGATGTAGCAGGGAAAAAAGAGAGTCTGTGGATATGCTGGATACACATTTATTATCTAAAAGGGAAACATATTTAGGATTATACACCTCCACATGACTGTGGATGACATTTGAAAAAGCTCATGATGGTAAAGGTGCAACTCAAAGAAGGTGTGCAAAATGACTACTGGCAAGGGCAAAGAGAAAGGAAGTACACTGCCAAATCAGGCTATGTTTGGATGAAAGGCCAGCAAAGAACATGTAGAAGTTCAAGGATGATCTGGAGCCCTTATAATGTGCCAAAACATAACTTCCTCTATTGGATTGCTTTGAAGAACCGCCTCCTAACCCAAGACAGGCTGATACGCATGAACATGCTAAATATATTGCAGCAATATGAGCTTTATGATGCAAAAGAGGAAAATATTGATCATCTATTCTTATATTGTCCCTTTTCTCAGAAGATTTTGAAGGAACTCATGAGCTAGCTGGGCTTAAGGTTGCCAATTCAGATGTTGAGAACACAGGTGGCCCGAATCTTAAGCACTTGGAGATGCCAAAAATTGAAACAAAAAGTTTTATTTGCAGTTGTAATTGCTGTTGTCTATCATATATGGTCAGAAGGAAATCAAAAAAAATTCCAACAAGTAGTTTCATCATCTGAAAGTAGAATCCATAGAATTAAGCAAGAGATTAGATGGAGGGTGCAAGCATTTTGTAAAAAATGTAGACCAGTAGAAATGAGATATCTAGACAGTTTGGATATCAACAATTTGGGAAGTTTTGTGTAATAGTTTCACTCATGTAAATATCCTTTTGGCAGTTTTGGCAGATTGATGGTAATATAATTTACTGTTAAAAAAAAATGTTGCAATGGCCTAAATTCTAATCTAATCATTTGATTGAAATTTGATAAAGAACTTTGTTATAGCACAAGAAGCATGAATCACGGATGCTGTTCCTAATTCTATCCCCAATTTCATAGGGGTCAGTAATCGCAATTGGAAACAGAGGGACCTAATTGAAAGTCTTAACAAGGCCAAAGTGAATTAAGCCACAAATACAAGACCTACGGAAAAATAAAATAAATTTATTCGGTAGTCGAACGCTCTTAAGGGCGGCGGTCAACTCAGGAGAAGAATCGCCGCCACTATCATGGCTTCCTCCGCCGCTGCCCTCGTCTCCACCACCAGGAATACCATCGGAAAGACGAAACTAACCTTCAAGTTCCGATTATTCTCCATTTCACCCTTTTCTTCTTCTTCTTCTTCTTCCTTCTCCACTCTCTGCAGAAACCAACAATTTTTCACCCCATCACATTCACCGCCAGTTCCGAAGAAAGTCCCTTTCACAGTCTCTGCTCATGGAACCAAGTGGCAAGACCCGTACCATTGGATGTCCAACCCCAACGACCCGGATTTCATCGACCATCTTCGCCAAGAGAACTCTTATGCTGATGCTTTTATGAAAGACACTGAGGAATTGCAAAGAACCCTTTATTCTGAGATGATTAGTAGAATGCCGTCCGAGATTTCTACCCCTCCTGAGCGATGGGGACCTTGGTAATTTTACATGTTTTTAACCAATTCCCACTTCATGGTTTCCCATATTGATCGTCAATGGCCTCTAATCTGTCTTGTTATTATGCATTATGGTTAAGTAAGCAGTTACTGTATAAAATGGCTTGAATGCTGAAGCTGGATGCTGCATGGTCTTCATTTCATGATATTGTTTGGCTTTTACTGTTGTTTGATGATTGAGTATTTTGCTTTGTAATAAGTTGGAATTGATTGAATTGAGGATGATTGTTCTGGGTTTACCAGGTTGTACTATCAATTTATTCCAGAGGGGAAGGAGTACCCTGTACTATGTAGAAAGTTGGCTTCTGGTGGGAAAAGTTGGATGAAGAATGCCGTGGACTACATGGTCAAAGGATCTTTGAAGGAACAAATTTTACTAGATTGGAATGAAGTTGCCGAAATGTATGGTAATCCTTTTTGTGTGCATGTGCGTGTGTGTGTGTTTCTTTTTTCAATCCTTTCATGTTTCCATGGAGTTCGAGGATATTATGCTCATCTAATGCTTTGATTCTGTTGATGGAAAATTTTCTCAGTCTAGAGTAAATTTAGGGAATTCTTATAGTTTTGTATTGAACTTAAACAGATTGCAATTATCTGAATGTGTCTGTGTTTGTATTATTCATGATCGTTTACGGGTAGTTTTTAGTTTTTTTGTGTTAGTTCTGCAATTTCACGGATTATTTTTACCTCTCTTTTGTAGGATATGTTCATGTTGGCACTTGTCGAGTGTCACCAGATAACAATTTTCTTGCTTATACGCTTGATGTTACGGGGGATGAACAATTCTTTCTTCAAGTTAAGGACCTCAGGAGGAACTCTGTTATTTCAAATCACAGAGTTGAGGGGGTTGTTAGCTTGGCTTGGGCTCAAGATGGTTCTACTCTATTCTACACGTTATGTGACCAGAACCAGAGGCCTTACAGGTAAGTTCTCTCCACTGGCTTCTTCGACATACTATTGAATAATGATTACCAAAATACATTCTTATCATTCAGTTATTCGGCAGGGTACATTGCACAAAAATAGGCTCAGACTCCATGAATGATATACATTTATTTGAAGAAAGTGATTCCAGATTCTGTGTCGATATAACAAGCACAAAGGATGGCAAGTATATAACTGTCAATTCAAACTCGAGGACTTCATCTGAGGAAAAGCTCCCTTATTCACTTTTTTTTGGGGCCCATTTTCTTAGATAGCATTTTCTTAAGTTTCTTCTGCTTGGTCATTCATTGCAGGTTTACGTTATAAATGCAGTTAATCCACAATCTGAAATGCAAAGATTTCGCAAGCGTGTCTCCGGTGTTCAACACTTTCTAGAGCATCATCATGGATTTTTCTATTTCTTAACCAATGCTCCGTTGAGCAAGGATGAGGTGTTTGGTGTTGGAAATTATTATTTGGGTAGATGCAGAGCTGAGAATCTGCACAATGTGGAGGTAAACTTGAATAGTATGATTTACTTTAGTTCCGATAGTAGGGCTTTTTGTCATGAGAGAGCTGGAGACATTTGTGTAACTTCCACGCATATGACTTCCTGTGGTTAGGCTTAAGGCTGACGTGAACTTAAAAAGTTTCAGATATGTTGTCTGCATTTTTGTGCGTTCAATTTCTTCCTTGCATATTAAAGAAGTTCAAACCAATGTTTATCCTCTTTCTTCATAGTTTTAGAGCTCTCTTTGACTCTGAGTATTATATGTTGTCATCAGAATATAATCCTCCCAAACGAAGATATGGGCTTCGTGGACATGGACATCTTCAATGAACATCTGGTGCTTTTCGTCAATAAGGATGGTTCTTCGTCTATATGTTCCATTGATATGCGTAATTTTTCTAACTGTGAGGTACGGCCCCCTTTTGATTTTTATTTATTTTTTTATTTTCCATATATCTAATACTCCAGGGGATAGATATGATTTTCGCCTTCGTCCTTTTAAAATTTGCTGATGCGGGACTCCATTTCTTGGATCCAGAATCTGTCGTAAGTAGGAAGATCTTGTAGATTTTACTTATGTCCTGTAACTCTTGTTTTTCTCAATTTTGGATCAGTAGGGTTCTGTGCCCATCCTTTGAGGAAGATGAAATACTCATCTTTCTGAAGTGTTGATGTATGTGTCTGAGGTGATTTTTTAATTCTGCAGGAGAAGATGAGACTTGATGATCTTAACCCGTGGTTTTTCCCATTGCCTTCAGACATGTGCTCACTGTCTCCTGGTTCCAATCATGACTTCGTGAACGCAGTCTATCGAGTTGTGCTTTCTTCGCCAGTGGTATAATAGAAAACAATTTGATGCCGAAGCTATAATGATAAATTGTGACATGAATGTTGTTTATTTCTTATAAAATAACGTATTTGACACTTTGATTTGTATATTCTTATTTAAAAAGCACCGACAAATGCTTCTCTTTTACTTGAAATGCAGATGCCTGATGTCATTATGGACTATGACATGTCGAGTAAGACATCAATAGTTGTGCAACAAGAAGACATGCCTGATATGAATTTCAGACCCAAATGCTACTCCCAAAATCATAAGAAAAATGAGCTTGACGACATTCGGAGTAGGAAGCAAAAAGACCTGAAAGACTTTTCTGACACATATGTTTGTGAGAAAAAAGAAGTCATTTCACATGATGGCATTAGGATCCCGTTGACTATCTTGTACTCCAAAGAGGTACATAAGCAGGGGCAATCCCCTGGGCTTTTACATGGGTATGGAGCATATGGTGAAACTACAGACAAAAGCTGGTGTCCTGACCGGTTGAGCTTACTGGACCGGGGTTGGGTGTTTGCATTTGCTGACGTAAGGTGTGTGATATATTAGTAATCGATTAGTTTCATTTTCTGAATCAACTATTAAAATCATTCATTTGAAATTCAGTCTGCATGTCATTCTTAGTTTGCCGGAAACGTGTTATTCATGGCGCATTTTCCTTTTAGACTATGTCTTTTTCTCTCTTAATTTTCATTTATGTTCAAAGTCAATGTTTACAGGTTTGTGCAAACACATTCTAAATGATGTCAGTTCGTGGAAAAACCTATGGCTTTGTGACTCTACTAGATGGTTAGGAGGAGTTGATTCCTGATAATTACTATTCCTCTGGCAAAAATAGTGTGTAATAATGGAATAAGTTTCTTTTACTTGGATAAATGCTAATTCTAACCATTTAGGTGTTTACTCGCCAATTAAGCATGTGAAAGTGATTGAATATTGCTTGCAAAACTTCGGATGTCAGATGACTTTTTGTGCATCAACTCATTAGGCCCTAATGGCCCAATTTTTTTCCTGTAAACCAAAACTTGGCTGCTCATTTTAGTCTCTGGAACATGGATTGCTGGTAACAAGAACTTTCCTGAATTCTTCAATTGTTATATGTCTTGCTGAAGGAGATTTAAACATTTGTTGGATTATTGTTACTTGACTCAATAGGGGTGGTGCTGGACCTGATCCTTCCTGGCATACCTGGGGCAGTGGATTGCAGAAGTTAAATTCCATACATGATTTTGTTTCATGTGGCCAATACTTGGTTGATGAAGGCTATGTTCATGAGCAGCAGCTTAGTGCTATTGCCCATAGTGCTGGATGTTTCCTTCTTGGTGCAGCAATCAATATGTATCCCCATATGTTTCGAGCTGCCGTATTAAAGGTAGGCGGTCCACAGAAGTAGAAGATCGACGGGTTGCATTTCCTTTGCTTTATTCTTGTTCTTTGTGCCATGCTTAGTAAGGGAGGAAATGTTACTCTTTTTAAGACTACCATTTATCCAGGTTTCTTGGAAGGAAAGGCTTTCCTTGAAAGTTTCTGGTGTTAGTGATTAATAATTGCGGCAAAATTAATTTGACACAGTCATTTCTGGTATTTTTTAAGACATGATAAATTTTCATTTAGACAATAAAGCAGAAAAGCAGAGCTAAAATGTAATGTTGAAATTGATCATTAAAGAACAGACGAAGTTTAGGCCTATCAATATATCTACACAGCATTCAAAGAGCTTCTTTCCTCCCATTGACTAGTATTTAATAGGGCAACTTTTTATCCTAATCTGTGTTTTATTATAATTTGTTCTCTTGCTGTTTATAAATGACGAGGTTATTGATTAAACTGATTTACGTTATGTATGTGCCAGGTCCCTTTTCTCGATGTGTGCAATACATTGTTGGAAACTAATTTACCTCTTACTATTCTTGACTATGAAGAGTTTGGGAACCCTCAGATTGAATCCCATTTCTGCAACATTCTGAAGATTTCTCCTTATGATAACATCCGCGAAAAGTTCTGCTATCCTTCTATGCTTGTCATGTCCTCATTCAATGACTCCAGGTTATTTTGCATATCAACTTCACCTTTAGTTTTTCTCAGTATGACCTTGGGATTGGTGTGTTATTCCCCAATGTTCTTCACGTACTGTATATCCATTTTATTATTTTCTTTTTTGTTTTTGTTGTTGCTATTGTTGTCTCTGTGGGCGCACGGGTGTGGTGGTGTGGGGGGGTGGTTGGAACTCTCCCATTATATCCGTTTGTCATTTATCTTTGTCATAATACTGGAGCGGGCACTTAAGTGGCGAAATTGTCAGAATTTTGTGCTTCCAAGTTGCAACTGATGATTTGTATTTATTCCAGGGTTGGTATTTGGGAAGCAGCCAAATGGGTGGCCAGGGTACGAGAGGTTACGTGCTCAATGTGTTCTTCATCAGTCATCCTAAGGAGTAATATGACTGGAGGACATTTTGGAGAAGGGGGCCGTTTTGGGCATTGTGAGGAAACAGCTCATGAATATGCGTTTCTACTAAAGTCCTCGGGGTACTTATGATCACGGAGGTTGATACTTGATAGTAGTGGATCCTAAAAAACTGGTCCGGTAAATATAACTCGAGGAATCTACTTTTCCATGTGTATCATGTTTGAATACTACAGAAAAGCTCCTCCGAGTTTGATCACTGATATCTTGACCTTAGAGAACGCAGAATAGTCATGAATGTCTGCAGTTTAGAGGAATGAGCCTACTCGGTGGTATTACTCCCTATTTGATGCATCGGTTTGTTTTTTTTTAAGTCAGATTTACGTTTCTTTCAAGAGCTTCTACAACTTGAACAGTTTACCGTTTCAGTCCACAAAACTATAAATTTCACCTTGCCAAATATTCGGCGCTCAATTACAATCGACGTCATCTACATCATTATTGTGTATAACTAATTCGAACGTTGTGTTAAGTCATGCATAGTTGTCAAAAGTTTTGTCAATCGCTATTAACATCAGCTCAGTTGCAGAGTAAGTTCAAATAAATTGGTCATAATGATCGTCAAAATTCTTCAACTTTTGAGACAGCGGTGAAGAACTTCTAGCTTCTTACCAGCTTTCGTAGCCTAGGCAGGTCATCCATATGAACATCATCAGAACTTGTACAAACATTGAGCAATCGTTTCGGGTGAATACGAGAGAATACCAATTCATTTGCACCACCGGAAAAAGAAAATTTTCTAAAAAAATGGTAGTATGCTCCAGAAAAAGTACCCCAAGCCAATAAAAATGAAGTTGCAAATTACATCATGTACAATCAAACTACCTAATGCACCTGAAGATGGAACAAAATTAAGCCGAAGTATTAACTCTGAAACTGCCAAACTCAAAATCTCATCCTTTTCTGAGCTTGGTTTAAGTCTCCACCGTTGCTTGTATCCCCACAATTCCCCACTGGGGGAGTACCCAAATGCATTGAATTCTCGTGATCCTGAAGTATAATGGAAAAGATATTAACATCACTCAAATGAAGGCAGTGATGACAAACGAATGATCACAATGCGCAAATAGTGCAAATTTTCTTCTTTTTTTTTCCTTTGTCGTAAGGAGAGTCAGTCTACATGCTTGCTTACTTTACCAATGGATACTCCAGAAGCCACTCCTCTATTTGCTCTTTTTCCTAAATTGATCTGAACTGAAATGGTGGCCTGCGAAAGATCTACTCCAGAACTCTGTAATGCTTGAGTCAATGTATTCAGTAACCTGATTGGAAAGATGAAGACAGACAGTAAGATAAAATCCACTCGGTAATACTGAGTTATTCAAGTCAATTTGCAGGCATCAAATTTCCACGTTTATGAGTTTATACTAAAAGTTATCAATCATAAAGCTATGTGCAAAACGATACTGTTAGGGTGGAGTGTCTCTTATTCGTAGGCATTTAATAATTAAAATTAAGAAAGACCGGCAACAAATTAGATGGTACTGGAAGCAGCTACACAAAATTATGAATAGGATATGGCAAGTTTAGCAGTGATGAATGTTGATAACAATGACTTACCAAAAATTAAATAATCAGACCACCTCCCTTTAACACTGAACACGGACAATAACAAAGTTGAACAATTACTCACCTTTGGGAATACATGCTTGATATGCTAATTGTGCCCCCCTCAATTGTTACATCATCCTGGTGATCCATGTTATCATCACTGATGGGACATCCAGAAGACTCTGCAACAGGAACTGCCCTAGGTTGGCAATCGGAAAAGGCAACACCACTCTGGACTGGAACTGAGCTGCTTCCTGGAAATGCCATTTGCATTTGCATAGACTGACTTGCCAAATCAGTTTGCTGATCAATTTGCTTAGACGAAACATCTTTGCTATTATCAGAGTCAATTGGATTTTGTACACTTGGTTGTGCATTTGAAGCAACATCAATGGTATTGTCATCAAACCTTCCAGGAAAAACCGGAACTGAAGCAGACCCATTTTTCATCGCTTGTGGGGTGACAAAACTCTGGGTGCGCCAGTGGCTATTCCGCTATTATAAATTATTAAAACAAACAAAAAAAAGAGGTAATATAAGTATGACCATTAAAGGGATGCATCAACCTAAATGCAGATATAACAGAGCTTAATCCAAAATTAGCTATGCAGTAAAACAGAGTTGGTACAGCATTTTAAGTTCGAAAATCTGCCATTTTGGAGCGTCACCCCCCAGAGAGGGAGGGAAGATGGATTTATACAGCTATAAGCACACAGGAATAACATGGGACAGCATTGAACAAAGCTTCCACATGTAAGCAGTCCAGGGAAAGGTAGGACAATTAAGAGCTCGCAGATGTAACCTCACCACATATTTTTATGAAAAATGCTATTTACAGCAACACAAATGTGTGACCTCAGGCCATATGTGAGTAGCAGGGAAAAAGAGAGAACTTGAACCAAACAAAAGGTCAAATGATTAATTGCAATGGAACAAATGTAAAGAGGCACTCAAAGACAAAACTTCATAAGGCCACAGAAGGAATAAAATAAAAAAATTGGAGAACAAGAAAACTGTGAAACCAAGGCAACAGAAAAATATCCAAAAAATTTATTAACCGTAAAAGAGGCCCAGATATCAAAAATTGAAGTACTCATGTTTGGTACATCGTGTGCAGAAGGAGGTAAGTACTATCTTGACAGCTAGTAACCGATTATCATTTTCTGTTCCTAATGTAATTCACTAAAGTTTAAAAAGATGTGCAGTCCACCCGGTAGGGGTCCACAGATCATCAGTAGCTGAGACTGGGAGGAGATGCGGTTCATACACAAATCATTTTTTCTTTTTTTGGTTATGGTTGATATACAAATCTAAATGGAAAGAATGGTACCTTTTCACAATGAACAAGAAAATCACCATTTTGAATAGCTTGTAAACGGGTAATAATAGGTCAAGAACAAAGAAGACAAAAAGGACAAGAAAAGATAGAGCTTCTCAATATATTTTAATCAGTAGACGAGCATCAAGACTAATAATGTCTGGTGCAAGTGGGCTTAATCAAACAAGCAAACCTAGTGACTTGTTTTGACTTGTTAATGCACTCATAGGTGAGACCTACTACATGAACCATCAAAGGCGTTGAAATCACAAGGTATTCATAGATGTAAACGTGCGATTCCAGTCCCAAAACCCTACGAAATGGACAGTTCACATAACAGATAACAAGAATTTTTACCCATGGCATCAGCTTCGTGGGCTCTGAGCTCCAAGTTTGATATGAACCTTCATACTTTTGAACTTTTTCCTGTAGATATTGCACATACTGGATGACCTGTTATGCAGAATAATAGTCAAACAAGGGTTATAAAACAAATAAATAACAGCTGTAACACAATCATTCAAAATAACACACCTCCAACAAGAATGAAGCAGTGTCACGCTTCTGATCACTATGTGGTATCAACTCCCTCAAAATTTGAAATCTGCATAAAAAGACAAAATCTACATGTCACTGAACTGGAAGTTCACATTGCACTGGGGGAAAGAATGACACTTGTCCTATTTGAGTATTTTACGTCTAAGTCTCTTAAGATATCTAGAAAAATAGGTCTGATACAAAGGGGGTACTCTTTCGCTAAAGAAATCTGAGTTGCATCTCACCAATTACACCCATGAATTATCATGATCTATGTCACTACTTTAGCAGCATAATAACATACTTCAAGTATTGCCTCAAAGATTTCCGTCCAAATAGATTTCGTGACCTAATTAACAACAATGCATTGATAGCAAAAATTTCATTCCAGTGGGAGTTCCCAATCCAGAAACCTCACTTTCATCAAATATCCAATAATTTAGCATCGATAATTGCACCTGAACAGTAAATTTGGTAACCATGTAGTGTGATCACTCATCAATTAACCACATCAAATTCTGAAAACCTCAAAAGCAATATTCTTCCACCATGGATGCAAAATTAACTAGAAATTCAGCGCTTTGGTACAAGGCTAAGCAAATAGGAGACTCCACAGAGCTTGAACCCAAAGCTTTATGCTATTACATTGAGTTAACACCTTTTGAACAGGCCAATAACAACAACAAAAACACCTTTACAACGACACACGTAGATTGTACCTCTCATTGATCTTGCTTCTTCTCCGTTGCTCCGTCACTGAATGCTTTGACCTCATTGCATTTGCCTTGTCATTGTTCTTCCCATCAACTCCTGACCAAGGAAAAATGTCAAGATCACACAAATTATCATTTTCTGCGGAAATTCTACAACACAGAAAGTCAAGCTCCTTAAGTTGCAAACTTCAAAGAAGTAATGCTCACTCCAAAGCTAAAACAAGCGCGAAGCGATTTTTAAAAAAATAAAAAAGCAAAAGTGGCAAATGATGAATACGAGGATGAAAATCACCTTTGGAATTATTATTAGACGGCGGAGTATCTTTCTTTGCAGCAAATTCATCCTCCTCCTCATCTTCCTCTTCTTGATGACCTTTTCCGGATTTCATACCGTTTGTCCAAGATGAAATTTTTACAGCTTTTCCCTGCTCAAATTCATAAAATTCAACAATCCCACAAATCTGGACAATCAATATCAATATCCAAATGAACAAAAGAGATCCAACAGAACGATTTCAACTGGAGAAAGGGGAATTATAAAAAAAGGGGGAACAAAAAAAAACGAAATCTTACAGCTTTTGGACAAAGTCACGAGATTTTGGTGGGAATTCCAACCTTTAATCAAGAGGGTAAACGGAATTTTAACTCTTTTAGCTGCGGAAAATTCATCAACCGAAGGCTCTCTCCTCCGGTGAGTGTGAGTGGCCGCAGCACTTAGTAATTACTACCTGGCCCTTGTTAATGTTTGCTGTACTAAAAATGGGTGTTTTGTTTATTGTTTTCTTTTTCCTTCCATTTACACGTTTTCTTTTTTCTTTTATTTTTACCCCTTACTTTTCCCTTTTTTTTGTTTTTAAAGGGTACTTCTTATTTATTAGTAAGTAGTAAGAGCATCTCCAACCAAAATGAAAAGTTTTCACTTCAACAACTATTTTGGTGCAATGAATAGTGTTATATTAAATTTGGTTTAAATGGTCCATTACACTATTTTTAGTGCACTACCATTTTACTTAAATCTAAAGATATATTTACTATGCAATTAAACTTGTAGAACAAATTATGTTATAAAATTATATCATATTAAATATTTTTTTGACATCTACAAAATAAGACCCATATTGAATATAATTTTTTTAAAAAAATAATTTTTAGTCATTATTAAAATTGACTATGAAAAATAAGTAAAAAAATTTGATACATCTACAACCAAATAAAAAGCGATTATAAGGAACAAATTTCACAAAATTATCACCAAATTATATTATTTTAATTAGCTATAAAAATAAAATTTAAACTAAAATATTTAATAAGTAGACATTTTAGTGCATCAAGGTTGGAGCGTAAAAAACTTTGGTGTAAAAAGATGCTTAGAATATTTCATTTGTACATTAAATTTGGTGTGAATTATAGTGCAATGGTTGGAGATGCTATGACAAATAAAGAGAAAAGGGAATTTCTTATTTCTCGAAATTACCCTTGGACCCGTGTGTTTTGTATTTAAGCCAAAAGACTGAAACTGGGTAAACATCCAAGTAAAGTTTGTCAACAAAAGAAAGCCTGGGTAAACACCATTAATTGATTATTTACATTTGTCCAAAAAGTAAGTTTAGTCAGTTAATGCAAAAATTTTAGGTTGGAAACTCTTTTGGCTCCAGAAACATATTACAGAATGACAAGTTTCAATAGTAGTAGTAGTGACAGAGTTTACGAATTTGGACCAAAAAGACCCATAAAACAAATTTGGTGAATGAAAAACATCACTATTTTTAGTCACTGAAACCCAAGATAGATAGTACAATGCAAGGGACTTTGATTCTCAGATTTGAATTCCATCAGTCCAATTCTTAATAAGCGTTTTGATAAATTATTAGTGGCACACTAACAAGTAAAAACAAATGTAAAAATATTGGTCTTTTCTTTGTGTGAATTTCAGTGATCGTGTGTAAGTACCCAAATATAGAGAACATCCGTTGGTGTTGTTTCTAAATCTATCTATCTATCTATTTTCTATATACCATACTAAGGCAAAAACGAGAGAGAGAAAACTAAAAGCATGGAGCACATGTCTTTTATTAAATCCTATGTGGCATTTTCTTAATTTCTTAGACTTAAAAATGCACAAAACAAAATAATAAAACAAAAAAAAATCAACTAAAATAATTTTTTAAAAAAGAAAAATAATAAAAACCAAACCCTTATTTTCATGAACCAAATCCTAACACAGAGATTGATTGAAGAGAGTATCAAATCCTAACAAATTTTAGAGAGATTATAATGTCATTTAAAAAAAACAAATTCATGTAAATCCAGAAGTAATCATGTTTAAAACTGAAGTCATTACATATTTTATAAAAATATAAATTTATGTTAAAATATCTAAATGTGTATGTCTTCCCCGTCCATCGAACGGGTCTAACACCTAGTTCAATTAATAACAGATGTTGATTGTTGCAACTCTACTGAACCCTGATCATATCCAACGACATTAAATACAATCCTCTTTTCGGCAAAAGTACTGTTTTTTTTTTTTTCATTATTTACATCAGCATTTCAACATCAAAAAATGGATTTGCTAAACACTGCTCTGATGAGCTTAAAAACGTGTCAAAATACTGTACACAAAATAATCTTAACATCAGAATTCAAGGATGATATTGCTTTCTTGCATTTATCATGTGCCAAAAAAACTAAAAAAGATGAGATCTTTGTTAAGAATGTTTTGAGATTTTCCTTCTTGCCATGAGGACACCATGACCAATAATTAATGCAGGAAATATGCAATTGCTGCAAAAGCATCATCACTACTCCACCTTCTTCTTGCTGTTTTCAGCTCTAATTTTAGGCCCTTTACTTCTTCCTTTGGTGATTCTTGCATTAATCTTCCTGTTTCTGGCATTAGTCCTACTCTCTCCAGCTCTCTGTATCTTCTTCTTAGACTTAATGTTGTTCAAGTCATTTTTCAAGTATCATGGCAAAATCCCACCTCAAAATGATCAAAATCAGGAAGAGTTTAAACAGCCGCCGGTTTGCCTGGAGATTGATCCATCTGAACTCAAAGACTTGGACCCTTCTTATGAGTCAGAGGACTGTAAAAACGGGATACCAGAATCACAACACTTGAGAAGGCATATTGAGTTGTGGGAAACCTGGAACCCACAATCAGCTGTTGTTGTTCACGAAAGGAAATCGGTTAGTAGTAAATTTCCAATTCTTGTTTTCTAATCATCCAACTACTCTGCTTATTGATTGCTGAAGAATGCTCCTTTTTTTTTTTGTAGTAAATTTAATCATCCTCTTTAGCTTTACTTATGATGGGATAGACAAACCTGTTTGATTAAAAATTGTTTCTTTTGTGGGTAAAATGCAGTTCAAAGAATTGATGTCGTTCTGGAAAAGACAAGAGACACTTACTAAACAGAGATAACAACTACAGAGTAAAAAGGTTGGATCTTTCTCCTACCTAAACACATTGTTATTACCTGTTTTGAGCAGTAAAAAAAGCCTGATAGGCGATTTGTTATAAGACTCCAAGAAGGATAACTAAGTAGAATGTTCTTTTATTGATTAGTGTTGTGACAAATCAGCTTCATACAGCTTATATATACAATAATTTTACGCAGAAACCGAATCATTTGATAAGGTTTACAGCCCGGAAATGTTTGGATTCTGCAAAGATAGAATCAGCTAGCACTAGCAGGCCCTGATGGAGGTCATGAACATCTTGATCCTCGACGTGGGAATACATACATACATGAAGCTAAACCTACCTGGTTTGCCAGCTTGAGAATCAGGTTGCAAAATATAGAAATTTGACAAAACAGAGGAAATGGAAATCCAATTTAACCAAAGTTAACTTTGTGGGCACTTGAGAAATGCTTTGAAGCAGCTATTATGGTTGCATCAGGAGTAGTAGCACAAGGCACTGCACCCTTTGAAGCCTTCTTCTTCTTCTTATCAATAGTAATGTCATTCTTCTCAGTTGAGGCTTTAGAGATGCAGGATCCAAACACTGCAGAGCACCAACTGTTTACCTTACAGCTCATCTTTGCAACTGTTAAAAAACTTACAAATCTTAGCTAATTTTCTTCAAAAGTATTAACTGTAAATAGTTACTTACAACTCTCTTTCTTTCTTTTTTTTTTTCTTTTTGGTTGGGCTCGGATTTCTTTGGATATTCGCTTAATGTATGATCTGTTAGAACACTAGTAAATTAGCCTTATATACTGCTAAGAATTTCTTGGACACCAAGATTTTTTGGACGTGTAACTCTTAGAAGAGCATAAGGAAATATCCAAGCAAGCTAGTGACGAGTGAGGAGCAGCAAACAAATGACCCTTTTGATGTGTTTTTTTTTTTACCTTTAATTACTTTGACCAATTACCTTCACACAGAAATTTGTTGTCGCTCATGTTTCTTTCGAGGAAAAATATGTCCTACTTTTTCCAGTTTTTCCAGGGATTGGATGCTCTGATTTATGAAAGCTCTTTTGACCCTTTTCGCTGAGTGTGTGTGTGCGTGTTTAATTTTCATTAATTATCGTCCTTTTTACTAGCACTATTTGTTTAGCCTTAATAGAGAGAGCTAGCTACACAAAATGATTTGACTACACTGCTCCCCTCCGTACTTTGAACTTTCAACACTGCTCTAATTTACCCGTTTTCGTCGTAACCTCTTTTAATATCATTTTCCTCAAGGAAAATGATTCCAGTGCAATGTGTCTTGAGATTTTTCTGCCTTTGTTTTCCTCTTGTAAACTCTTTGTTTCCATTAGGGTTATTTGGTTTGTTCTAAACACTTTCTTTGACATGGGGGATATGATCTCTGAGTATGCCTCGAGTTGTTGCAGAAGTTCATTGTTTGGAATGTTAGGCGAGGAGATGTCATCTAACCTCCGGTGACAATGTACTTTCTCTGTGCTAAAATTATCTACTAATTTGTAAAATGAAATGCAAATTAGACAATAGTTTTAAGACAGGAGAAATATATAATTTTGTATAATCGGTGGCCTTTTAGATCAATTATACTGAGTGAGATAAAAGTTTTGATCATATAACAATTTATAACATTCATAAAATGCACATAATGTAGTTCTAAAGTGTCGTTCCTCCTCATTTGTATTAAAAAGAAAAAAAGAAAAGAAAAACAACAACAATATAATGATTTGAAAGTACAATTTCGCGAGTATTATATTTCAATAATCATTGACACTTAGACCTAGACAGGATAAACAATGTTTGATTGTTGAAGCAAGACACGATTTTTATATTCTTAAAATAAACATGTGCGTGTCTATTGACTAATTAAGCTCTACTTTTGTTGAGTTTTGTTCACGTACCTTCTTCCAATGCGAAGACGACAAATTTATTAATAAGTCATCAATTGACTAGTAGGGATTGGACGCAATTTATTCATAGAAGTAGAAATAGTCACAAGAAAAAAAAAAAGAAAAAAAAAAAAAAAACCAAGAAGGAGAAGAAGAAAAAGTACAAATAATCAATTAGATGATCATTATTTTTTTTCCAGGCCACAATCCATTTAACTGCAGCGGATTCACTACCACAAATAAAATAATACACTAGATTTTACACGAATGCTACTTTAATTGCATCAAAAGAAATTACACCAAATTAAGTTCAACTTAATCAATCACACCATACTATGTGTATCTGAATTACATATCTCCAATGTTGAGAACATGTAAACAGATAACCGTTATAATCCTTCACTTTGCACTAAGATCATATAACACAGAAAACAATCAGTTTGGAAGGAAAAGTAATAATCTTTCATATTACGAGTTGAACATGATCTCTAACTGGGCTAGTGAAAATCGGAGGAAAATAGTGATCATGACTTATAAGCCAAGACCTTTAAGCTCTCAATGAAGTCACTTGCCCTTAACAATACTGCACTTTATGGGCACTGGAAAAATGCTTCGATGCTGCTACATTGGCTTCCTCAGGGGTGGAAGCAGATGAAATATCATCGCTGGTCGAAGCCTCTGCGATTTCATCCTCCGGCTGAACTGTGAAGCATGAGATAAATAGTTTGAGTACTTCATAGATCCAATTCACTTCCATACAACTCATCTTTTCTTTTTAAAAATAAAATTAATCTACTGTTTATTTATGGAATGTGTGTTCTATTTTTGATGAGATCTGTTTGAGAGGATTTTGCAATTGTTGGAAGATGTGTAAGAAGAAATGCTAATTCATTGGTGCTTTTTATAATGCTTCTAAAAAGTTTTCTTGGAGACAAAGGATCATGTTGGTCGTTGGATGATGCAATTCACGGTCCAAATGTGGTATAACCTTAACCTGGTGACCAAGTTAGCAATTGTAAGAAAGTGACTTTCAACTTTGAGCGTTTTTTGACCATCCCACTACCTTTTATAATTTCTTGTAAACTGATGTTCCAATCTCGGTTTCCTTTCCTGGAAATTGATTTGGTCACTGTATATGGTGTTTAAATAGTTCACAGCAGGATAGTACATGTGATTGTTAGGACAAATAAATTTTACTCTTTCTATCTTATGATATGAATCATTTTTATTGTATACTTAAACAATTCAAGCTTATTTTGTGGCGACGGGAGAATAACTCACTAATTTAAACAGGATAAGTCACAAAATGTGTGACTTGATGTGAATATATAACAACCAGAAAAGTGAAAATGCTTTAGTAATTTTTTTTCTCATAATACAAATACGACATAAAAGTAATGTCTGAACTTTTTAGATTTCTTAAGTTTGTTTTGTGGAAATTGCCATTAAGTACTCATCAAATTTATATGAAATACAGATCCTGCTATGAGTTTCTCTGGACAAAAATCCTATCTGTCACTTTTGACTTTTGTGAAATTAGAAGAAACTTTCACAAATAACGCAAGTAACAAAGGAGCAGGGAAACATAACTCAAATTACATCATGTTGTAGCCAATACATAACTCCAACTGGAGTATGTCTTAGGCGCTCAACACCTAATGGCCCGTGTGCCGCTAATGCAGCCAAGAAATCTGCTATTACAAAATTTCCTTCCCTAAATACATGAACAGGTTCCAGTGTCCAGTGCCCTCTCATGAGATCCCTGATTGCTAAAACAATTTTTTCATGGATTCCGAGACCCTGCTCCTCATTACTCACCATCTCCACCACCGGATGACTTGTCCATCTCAGCTCTCCCCCTATCAAAACTCAGCTCACATTACATTGACTATTATTCAGATTGAAAGTTGTTTAAGAAATGAGGCAAACATCGAGTTTATGGGCTTTTCTTGGTAAGGCCCATTTGTTAGCTTCTCTAGAAGAAATTGGGCTCCAAACTTTTTTTCGGTATATCACTGGGCTCAACATTTACTCTGAACAAATTTGTGCCGACTGCCGAGAGATTGCAACTCGCACATCATTAACATCAACGCAAAATATGTAAGAAATAGTTGAATAGCCTATTAGTAACAAGTAACGACATACTCTTCCATCCCAAAACAATTATCTAATTATTATTTTAGTTTTAGTATAACTAGATGTTAAATCCAAACGATCTGCGGAATTTATTCATATACATTTATAAAAAATATTTAAATTTTCAATTCGATAAATACAGATAAAATTATTAGTTTGTAATAAGAAATCTTATCATAAAATAAATAAAAAAAAGGATCGCATCTATGACCGATAACTTATAGTGAAATAAGATAATAACTCGTGAAAAGATGAAAACACTCGACTAAATTCGACACAATTTTAGTTAAATTCAAATTGGACTAAGCTCAATTCTTTATTGGTTTTTCTTTAAAATATGAGGATGGCTTGAAAGTTTTTATGATAACTGCGGAACATTTGCGGGGTTACTGTAATGGTGAAGTATGCTATCATTTATAGGGTTTTTTTAGGATTTTTTTTTCCCGAATTATTTGGATTCTTGGAAAGTCATGTAGAAATTTGGATTGATTTAAGTTTAAAATAATTAAACATTTTTTTATTATTATTTAAGAATGCAATTTGTTTTGAATTTTTTAGGTTTGAATAAATCATGAATGTAGCCATAATTTGGCCTTTAGTTCATGTATTAAAGAAAAATATTGTTACCAAATTAAGGTATTTTTTCTTTTAAAAAATGAGAGCATTCAATATAAAAATTAATTAACTTGCATAATTATGGTGATTGGGGTGATTTGATATTATTGACATACTTCAAGGAAAATTAGCATAAATTCGAAAACTATTTTTTCCCAAAATTTTGAGGAATTGACATGTAGGATTTTTGCTTACTTGGCACTCTAGAAACATGTTTTTGTTTTCTCTCTCCAATTTTCCTCTTAATATAATACAGTAGATAAATAGAATAATTATTTTAATATGTAGCAATATAAGATTTGGAATGGAAAACCTTCTCCCCGATAGGAGTACCACTCTAGTCAAATGGATATACTACCTTCTTTTCACAATGTTAAGTCCACTTTGAGAGTTGCACAAGTATTAAGAGTTAATATAATCAGGAAAGATAAAATGTCTACGTTAACTTTAATTAATAAGGCCAACTACTATTTAACTGAAAAACCATTATAGAGACAAGGATAATTTAGACAAAATAAACAACATTGTGTATTGGGATCAAAGTATACTTATACTTTGATATACTTACATTATGAAAAGAGGTAGTATTACTGTAGGTGCAATACTTGTCCACTCAGTGCATGAAATTTTGTACTGCAAAATGTATCCGTAATTAAATTTTTAGTCTAAAAAGAGTTTCTTCTTGTCAGTAACATAGTGACTTGATAATATTTCGCACCATCAATTCTTTGTGTGCATTATAATCAGCGGGCAGTTAGTATTTTAAGTTTATTTCACACCACAATCTAATCTTGTAGGAGTATATTTCATAATAAATTATGATGGACCAAATCAAAGAATTCGATAGAGAAAGGAAACTAGGAAAGTGACCTATACTACATACTACTACATAGTAAAGTTTTAAAAAGGAAGGGGACAGAACTGATGCCCAAAAATGATAAAAATACCTTTCGTGCACTAAAGGCGCGACAATAAGTCACCCGAATCATTAACCCCCCCACAAAACTTAATTAATGTACTACTGAATAATAACAATAATCTATTGAACTGCTTGTTGTGTTTAAGAATTAAGCCACAAAAGTAAATCCACTTGTAACATGCTCCCATTCTTGGGATGTGTACATTAACCATGATTGGGGAAGTGCTTCAGCTTAAAGTTAAGCACTAGTACTAATATGGGCATATGGCATCAATAAATTAATGTTTTATTTTCAAAAAAAAATTTAAAAAATAAATGAGTCGGTCATTTTCAGACCAAACTACAGAGGATACAATAATAAATTAACGTTTTGGGTAGGCAAAATATCTTTTGCCCGGCCAACCACTTGGCAGTTCTTCATGGCCAAAAGATTTTTGGAGTGAACATGTAATGTTTAATTATTTTTTTTAATGGTTCCATTTGGGGGTTAATTCTATTGTTTTTACTAAGCTCGACAATAATGGCCAAACATAACACAAATTTTGATTGAAGAAGAAAATGACATTTGGATCACACAATCCTGGTTCTTTCTAACCGGGATATTGTCTGATTGCTTTGGAACGACTCAATTCACCTAAGCAATGTGTACCACAAATACTCCAACGTTAGGGACCCTATAGTTGCATGTCATAATAAATCTGTATTTTCTCTCCATTTTTTTTTTTTTAAGGAGAAAAGAAATCGATCAACATTTTCAATTTTTAACTGTACATCATACTTCTTCATTCATCTAAAAAAAATTCTTGTCGCTTTAATTCGTTCATTTTTGTTAATTGTTTTTTCATTTATCGTACGTCTAACGGTTTAAGTGACAGTGGACAATTACAAGAAAGATTTATAACTTTTTGCACCACATGTAGAGTTTTTGATGATTAATTCACCGGAGCACTTTTATCCGGAGGAGAACTCGCACAAACTAGTACATTGTACCACCTCATCAAGGATTAAATTAGCATAACTCAATATCAAATTCAACGTCTTAGTTTATCAAATAACCAATTAAAGCAATTCTCTAGCCATCTCCTAGTGATTTCATCATAAATAATATATACTCTCTTCCTTTCAACACATAATAAGTCGTTTGTTACGCTATATATTTTTCCTTAAAAATAAAAATTTCAAAACTCCACGTGTTCTTTTTTTTTTAGACAGAGTGAGTATTTCTTTTGCTCAAATTCAAAAAAAAAATCTATTTGATTAAACTAAAATAATACATTTCAACGTATAATTTTTTAAATAATAATATAATTTATAATTATAATTTTCGACACAAAGTATTTTTTATGAGACAGAAGAAAGTAGACTATTTTGTGAAGACGAAAAGTAGATTGGTTTAGCTCAACCAATATGTATTTCCCAAAATGCTTATGTTACAAA